TCTCTAGGGATTATTAGTCATTTTAATAGATGCTTATTTGCACCATCATATTGTGGTATCTCTCTGGGTCTTGTATATTTTTAAAAAGTGCAATTCTCTGGATGTTATTCTCAGATAAGAAACTTTTTTAAGTGCCTTATATACATGAAAACGACACTGTCTTCAGCTCAAAACATCAAATATTCCAGCCATGATAAATTTCATTAATTTGAACTATTTTGGACTATCCAAAGTGAAATATAGAATTCAACATGATGAATGTGCTAATTATTAAATAGCTTTCAATCACTTTTTTCAAATATGTTGTAAAGCGAACTTCAGTTTGAGGTCAAATTATCTTTAATTCTGAGATACTGTTAACTTAATTAGCAAGGTATTTTTACATTTATTTTTCTTATTTTGACTTAATGTACTTATTATAACTTTGTATTCATTGATAGGTGGTCTCAAGACATCTACAAATGGCTGTTTTATTAAAAAAATAATTTTTTATGCCATATGATTGGATAGCCTTCTAAACCCATACACTGTGTGTATGACTATGTGTGTCCACTTTATCAAACTACTGAGAAATAAAATTAACTTATCATAGCACTAAGAAATACATATAGAAACTGAGAAGCATACATCTATTCTTGGATCATAGAAGACATTTTAACAGAAATTACACAATATTTATAACTGAATGACAATTCAAACACTATCAATGTATGTAGAAGGTATTTTTAGTGATATTTAGAGTGAAAATTATAACCTAGATGTATATATTTTTTTAAAGCCGTGAAAATTTATGAGCTAAACACTCAAATAAAAAGGGTATAAAATTGGAAAAACAGAGGGAAACATCCACAAAAACAGAACTTGTTTGAGAAAAATACTAAAATCAGTAAACTTCCAGTAAGACTGATCAAGAAGAAAAAGAGAAAGTAAAAATTAGTGATAATAGGAATGAAAAGGAGAAATAACTACAGAGACTATAAACATTTTTTTTTTTTTTTNCCACACTCAGCCAGTGAGCGCACTGGCCATCCCTATATAGGATCCAAACCCACGGCCTCGGCGCTACCAGCGCCGCACTCTCCCGAGTGAGCCAGAGGGCCAGCCCTATAAATATTTTTAAAAGCCAAGGCTACTATAAATATCGCCAATGAATATGGAAGGTTAGGTGGAATGGAAAATTGCCTAGAAAAATGTAAATATTTAAAACTGACTGAAAATAGAGAAAACCTGAGCAAGCTTGCAACTATTACAGAAATTCAACCAGTTATAGGTCTATTGAGTCATGAAACACATGCCACCTCACCAATAAGATGACGCTGTCCATACTTCACCAACTGGCAAGTCTAGTGTCCACCCTAGAGACATATTTGTCTGTATGCACAAGAAGATATGTACCAAACTTCATTCATTCATTTATGTATTCCACAGACACTGTGCCAAGCATTGCAGGGCCCTAAGCACCGGATCACTGTAGCATTATTTGGAAACAACCTACTTTTCTTTAATGGTAAATGTAAATACTGTAGTCTGTTCATAAATGGAAAAACACATACAGCAGATGAAAATAATGGAGTAGTTTGAAACTCAGATATATCTCTCACACGTGAAACTAAGGGATAAGTTATAAAAAGAATATGTTACTATTTGGGTAAATTTTGAAAACACATAAAGCAATACTTGCAGCATCAGCCTCACCTGGGAGCTTCTTAGAAATGCAGAATCTTGGGCTCACTCCAGATGCATTGAATCAAACTCGTGGAAGTGGGCCCAGCAATCTGCATACTTGATAGTATTTCCAGGTGGTTTATATGCACAGGAAAGTTTGAGAAGCAGTTATATACACAGTTGACACTTGAGCAACACAGGTTTCAACTGCATGGGTCCACTTACATGCAGGATTTTTCAACCAACCTCAGATTGAAAATACAATACCTGTGGGATACAGAACCCATGTATATGGAGGGCCAAGTTTTCATATACACAAGTTCCAAGAGGATTGACCACGGACCTGAGTATCCACGGATTTTGGTGTACACTGTAGGGGTCCTGGAACCAATTCCCCACATACTCTGATGGACGACTCTATATCACACATGGACACACTCATATGTAGATAAAAATATTAAAACATAGATGAGAAGGTCCACACCAAATTTGGAATAATGATTACCTCTGCGGAGAGAGGAAGGAGGGAGATGAAATCAGGAAGAGTACAAGGGGGTTCTGATTATATCTGTAATAATTTATTTCCTTTAAAAATATGAGACAAACATGGCAAGACATTAATATTGGTAAGTCTAAGTAATGTGTACACAGGTGTTTTTTCTATTTTTATCTATATGTTATATGCTTGAAAGATGCTGCAATAAAAATTAGGGAAAAGGAGAAATAATCCCATCCAGATAATGTAATGGAATGTAACTTTCTTATTTGCTATAATATTAATTCCAGTCAATGTCATGCCAACTGTTATTTGTACCCATTACTTTTAGGCGAGTCAGGGAGTTAAACAGCTGCAACACTAAAAAGTTTCTGGAAGAAAGAAAGAGAGTAAGTACTTTTTAATTTTCTTGGCATTCTTCTTTTTAAAAGCTATAAACAATGACTCATGCTTAGGTACCAGACATCCAGCTAATTTGCTTAATTTGATTTTTGTGTACATTAAACATTCCAGCTTCTCTTCTTTGCTCCCCAGAAGCTAAGTAATCTCTCACTAAAATCTTTAAGGGAATTATTTGGCATCATTTTATTCAAAAAATAAGACCAAGTTTTGGTCTTGCATAAATCCTCTGTTATTTTCTAAGATTTTAGCAGGAAAGATCTCCCCAGTAAGAATTCCCACTTTTCAGGCTGTTTTTCTTTCTTTTTTAAAATTATGATCTTCCTCATTTAAATTATAAAGTTACAAGTCATCTCTCATCCATAAATTTTAAGATTACAACCTAAAGTTTATCAGATTTTTTTTTTTTTCTGTTTTTGGCAGCTCGCAATGAAGCAGTCCAAAGAAATGGATCAGTTGAAAAAAGTCCAGCTTGAACACCTAGAATTCCTAGAGAAACAGAATGAGCAGGTATTTTACTTAAAATATGTAAAAAGATGTAGGCAGCCATCCAGCTTCAGGACGCAAATGCCATAGCTCATAGTGACCCTTGTACCAAAGCCAGTGGCCTGATAGTATAATGGAAAGGTGGCTGAAAGGATTTGCTGCCTGTTACTGTACTTTCTCCATTTCATCTGAAAAGAACAGACAGTACCTTTTCTGGAGCAGGAGAGCAATGTGGCTATAGGGAAAAAAAGAATAAAACGTCATCATTTAAATATATTATCTTTCTCCATTTCATCTGAAAAGAACAGACAGTACCTTTTTTGGTGCAGGAGAGCAATGTGGCTATAGGGAAAAAAAGAATAAAACGTCATCATTTAAATATATTATGAAGATTCTAAGACTGACATTATTAAAAGTGAAACGATGAGAAAAAGAGAAGTTACAAAAATATTTCTCTATTTTCATTTAGAGTTTTATAATTTGCAACCTACAGGCAAGTGATATTATATTTAAATGCAAATGAGAGAAACCACTTATTTTCAACTTCAATCTACAAATGAAGGTATAAAAGCTTCCTAGAGCTTACAAGTGGGATCAAAAGTCATGAGCCTACATAACTCTACAAACCACTCAACTTGAGTGGATACCATACTCAGCAAGAAAAAATATTAAATAAAGAAATACATGCATGGGCCGGCCCGGTGGTGCACTGGATAAGTGCACCGCTTGGGAAGCGCGGCGGCGCTCCCGCCCGAGGGTTCGGATCCCACATACAGACCGGTTCCCGCTCACTGGCTGAGCGAGGCGCGGGAGCAAC